CATATTCACTGTTTTCTTTTTTTGGGTGTGTGTGTGTGTGTGTGTGTGTGTGTGAGAGAGAGAGAGAGAGAGAGAGAGAGAGAGAGAGAGAGAGAACATTGAAGTTCTACTCTTTCAGCAAATTTCACTTATACAGAAATATAATTTTCAACTATGAAATAGTTATAGTAATAAACTGCAGTCACCAGGTTTTACATTAGATCCTCAGACCAAGAAATATATTTACAGATACATCTCTAGGGCAAAGGCAACTAAGAAAAAAAGTAAACAAATGGGACTACATCAAAATAAAAAGCTTCTGCACAGCAAAATAAAATATCAACAAAATGAAAAGGGAGCCCACTGTGTGGGAGAACATATTTAGCAATTATACATCTGATAAAGGGTTAATATCTCTTTGTTTCTTGAGTCTGACTAAAGGTACATCAATTTTGTTTTCTTTTCAAAGAACCAGCTCTTGGTTTTATTGATGTTTTGTTTTTGTTTGTTTTTTTAGTCTCTATGTCATTTATTTCCACTCTTATCTTTATGATTTTCTCCCTTGTACTTACTCTGGGCTTTTCTTGTTGTTCTCTTTCTAAATCTTTAAGTTTATGGTAGATTCTTAGAAGTTTTTCTTGTTTTTTGATGTTGGCCTGTAGTGCTATGAACTTCCCTCTCAGGACTTCCACAGTACCCCAAAGATTTGGGGTTGTTATGTGTTCATTTTCATGTTTCCAGGAAGTTTTTTTCATTTCTTTCTTTATCTCTTTGGTAACCCAGTCATTGTTTAATAATATACTATTTAGCCTCCACGTGTTTGAATGTTTCTGAGTGTTTTTATTGAAGTTGATTTCTAATTTCATGCCATTATAATGAGAGAAGATGCTTGATATGATCTTGTAGAGACTTAGTTTCAAAGCTAGACCACATCCTAACATGTGGTCTAGCTTTGAAAATTTCCCATGTGCACTTGAAAAAGCATGTACATTCTGTAGTTTTGGAAATGAAATGTTCTGTAAATGCTAGTTAATTCCATCTGATCTAATGTATTGTTTAGGATCAGTGTTTCCTTGTTGATTTTTTTTTGTCTAGGAGATTTTCCAATGATGTCAGTGTTTAAAGTTCCCTACTATGAATGTATTGCTATCCATCTCTCCTTTAAAATCCTCTAGTATATTTGGCCGAAACCGGTTTGGCTCAGTGGTAGAGCGTTGGTCTGCGGACTGAAAGGTCCCGGGTTCAATTCCGGTCAAGGGCATGTACATTGGTTGCGGGCACATCCCCAGTGGGGGATGTGCAAGAGGCAGCTGGTCAATGTTTCTCTCTCATTGACGTTTCTAGCTCTCTATCTCTCTCCCTTCCTCTCTGTAAAAAATCAATAAAAATATATAAAAAAATAAATAAAAAATAAAATCCTCTAGTATATTTGGATGTTTCTGTACTTGGTACATATATATTTACCAGAGTTATATCCTCTTGTTGTATTGATCCCTTTAGTATAATGATGTGGCCTTCATTGTCTCTTATTATGGCCTTCATTTTTTTTAATATATTCTTTTTATTGATTTCAGAGAGTCAGGGAGAGAGAGAAACATCAATGATGAGAGAGAATAATTGATTGGCTGCCTCCTGCACACCCCCTGGGGAATCAAGCCCTCAACCTGGGCAGGTGCCCTGACCCAAAATGAAACTTTTGACTTCCTGGTTTATAGGTCGATGCTCAACCACTGAGCCACTCTGGCCAGACATTATGGCCTTCATTTTGAAGTCTATTTTTTCAGATATGAGTATTGCTACCCCATTTATTCCCCCCCCCCCCCATTTCCATTTGCCTGGAAATTTTTTTCCCTTTCCTTCACCTTCATTCTGTGTGAGTTTTTTGTTCTGAGATGAGTTTCTTGTAGACAACATGTAGTTGAGTCACATTTTCTTATCTATTCAGCTACTCTGTGCCTTTTGATTGGCACATTAGGTTATTATTGATAGGTGCTTATTTGTTGCCATTCTTACTCTTTACGCCTGTGTTCTTCTCTTTCTATTTCTTCTTCTTATGCCAGTCCCTTTAGTATTTCTTACAGTATTGATTTGGTGGTAACAAGTTCTTTTAGACTTCTTTGCAAAGCTCTTTTCTTTTAAAACAAATATTTATTGATTTCATAGAGGGAGGGAGAGAGATTAGAAACATCAATGATGAGAGAGAATTATTGATCAGTTTCCAATCCCACTGGGGATTGAGCCCACAACACAGGCATGTGCCCTGACCAGGAATCAAACTGTGACCTCCTGGTTCTTAGGTTGACCATCAACCACTGTGCCATGCTGGTTGGGCAAACATGTGTCTCTTTTTGAAGCAAGTAACTTGTATGTAGCCAGCCCACAAAAAGACTATGGAAGGAAAAGAAGCCAAAGATTGTGTATATTTACATATTTTTTCTATCAAGGTCATGTATACTTATATGTCTTTTTGTTATCATTACATTAATTTATACACTTTTTGCCTTGGGTTTGCATTTCTTAAAAATTGATTCAGCTTATAGGTTGAAAGCCCCTTAGGATGTCAGCCTGAACTTTCCATGGCCTGCCTCTACATCTCTCCCTACAGACTTCACACACAATTTCCCTGTCCACTTAGGTTTTAGACAAACAGAACTGTTTATCCTTCTCCCCCATTAGACCCAGTACTTCGATTCCTCCCCAATCTCAGCATGTCCAAATCCTGCTTCTCTTTGAAAGCCTAGCTCAGCATAAATAATGTCTGTTCCATTTGTATTTTATCTGGATGTCTGGACAAGGCAGTAGCTATTACAATCCATATTATAGAATATTTATCTTAAGTGTAAGAAGTATATCTTATTAGAACTTTGTATCACTTACAGACCTATTTAACATAGTGCCTTAAGAAAAAAAGGAGCCGAAACCGGTTTGGCTCAGTGGATAGAGCGTCGGCCTGAGGACTGAAAGGTCCCGGGTTTGATTCTGGTCAAGGGCATGTACCTTGGTTGCGGGCACATCCCCAGTAGGGGGTGTGCAAGGGGCAGCTGATCGATGACTCTCTCATCGATGTTTCTAACTCTCTATCTCTCTCCCTTCCTCTCTGTACAAAATCAATAATATATATATATATTCAAAAAAATAAATAAATAAATTTTTTTTAAAAAGTATTTGAGTAAAATGCCCGGTGTCAGAAGTATGTAGTGCCGTTGTATGTGGACCTCGGGGAGGCTGGAGTAGTGTTACCGTCTAACCTGAGGCACATGTCGTTATGATTCTTATGTTTCTCACACCTGTCACCTCCGCCTGTTGTATTCTCCAGAGAAAGCAGCTGCTGTCTCACCTGTTTTCATCGCTGTCGTTTCTCTGCAGTGGCCCTCAGCCATCGCTGCGCCTGGGTCTGTCAGGGAATGGTTGTGTGTCGGGCAGAAGCAGGGACACCAGTGCCTCTGGCCGCTGGTCCCTTCAGGCCTGGTGATTTCGCAAAGCCAGGCTAGAAGCTGCTAGCCTCGCAGAGCCTGGGCTCCTCTGAAGCAGCCTGGGCCCTGTGCTCCCGTCCGGTCTCTGAATCCTGGGAATGTGATTGCTGGAGGCAGGACGTCTTCCTCAGCTCAGACACACGGAAGCAGATGTCTCATCTACGTGGAGAAAATACAGTCGGTGGCATTTATCCTCTGTTGCTTTTCAAAGCAACGAGTTATTGAATCGAGCACATGCTGCTTACGATGCACCTGTCACCGAAGGCTGCGGAGGAGCAGAATGTCTTCGTTGGGAGATGAATGTACTAGTGGGGATGTTTGCGAGGACACTGTGGAAGTGAGATTCCAAAACAGCAGCGGTTCCTGAAACTCCGCAGGGAATCGGTGTGAGCAGTGCTCCCCGTCCTGTTCCTGGAGTCCAGTACGACTGTCTGGCACTGTGTGGGCACGTGGTCAGCCTTTGTTAAGCAAAGAATGGATTGATGAATTATAAAAATAAATAAATAATAAAAAAGGCACCTAGCCTGTTCATTTCTCTCATCTATTAAAAGAATCGCTATAAATAGTGAGAGGACCTTCTTCAGTGGGTTGGATCCTATAGAGTCCAGTTCATGAGAAGGCTCACTGTGTGAAGGCTGGTACACTGTAGGTGATATGTCCTACTCAGCACAGCTCTTCAAAAGGAAGTGTATTATGAGGCCAGGGGTTTCGTTCATGGAGAAAATTTTAACGTCAGCATGTCTCTTTCCTGTTCACTTCTGCATCCATCTCGCAGCCTTTGGAAAACAGTTTAGCTGTTTCCCGATTTTTCTAATCTTGTCCTTTATATATAGATAGCATAGGACCTGATAGAGGTCAGGCTCTCTTGTCACAAAGATTCTAAGACCTAGGGGATTTTTTCATAACCGTGTAATATGCAAATTGTCCCTTCAACCAAGAGTTCAACCAGGGCGTGGGGCCTGTCGGCCAACCACCATGGCCCCACCTTGGCCACCCCACCACCGGATCAGGGGCAGGGCCAGCCAGCTAACTTCCTGCCTCCCCTCCCCCTATGGCTCTTATCAGGACGGGCTGTCGGACCCCACCTGTGCACAAATTTGTGCATCGATCCTCTAGTGTAATAATATTTTAAGAAAATCTAATACAAAAGTAAATTATGAGAATAAGATAAACTGCATATACATGCATGTTTGCAATCAGAGATATGAAAATAATGAAAAATAAAGTGGTTGTTTATCTTTGGGTAGTAGAATTCCAAACAGCTTCTTTTTCTGTAACTTCTGTAATGAGCATGCATGACTTTTATAATTAGAAAAATTCACACTGATAAATGTGTTCATTACCAATGTCATTTTGTCTTAATCTTGGAAACTACTAATGTGCTTTGAAAAATTTTGTGTATAAATGACAATTTGATACCATGGTTTGCTTGTTTTTATGTAATGCCTCAATATCTTAAAACCTTTAAATAATCTAAGCTGCTGCTTGGTATCAAAGGACCCTGAGAAAAGAGAAATTAAAAAGCCAGTTACTTGCCTTTTATTTTAGATGCCAGAATTCCAGAAGAGTTCGGTTCGCATCAAGAACCCCACAAGAGTAGAAGAAATCATCTGTGGTCTCATCAAGGGGGGAGCTGTCAAACTTCAGGTGAGGAGCCATCACGAGGCCTTTCTTTCTTATGGTCACGTAGACAGTCATCTCCTGCTTTGCTGAAATCTCAGCAAAGAAAGTTTAGATAGATGAGCTTTGCCTGTCCTTTCCGAATGTAAAATCTGAGAGGTGGGTCTAGCCCTTGTCAACAATATATAGAATGCCTGTTGTAAATGAACAAAACCTAATAGTCTTGAAGTAAGTTTAGCTTTTCTTTAATATTAAGTACTAATTTAACTACTACTGTGCCTAAGTACGCAACTATTTTAAGAATAATGTTAAATATGTACAGTTTCCAGTTGCCATTCCATCTTTTAACTAAATAAATCATAATAGTTCAAATTAAGTTGTCACTACATGGGATAAATGATTTTTTAAAAGTTTTTTAAAGGGATGTTTTATATATGAGCTAAATCAGCCATTCTGGATAGTGAGTGAAAATAAATCTTTTCCTTTTTTTTTTTTTTTTTTTTTTTTAATATTTAACCCAATCTCCTAAATTGCAAGAACTGGCAAACTGTACCAGGTATGATTCATTGATTGGTATAGTTTATTTACCTATATTTAAAAGTTACATCTAGAATGGAACAGTGTCATTGACTAAGCTTCATATAGTTTAAATGCTTTTATTGCATTTTTGTACATTGACCCAGGGGGGTTGAAATTGTGCAGTGTCTTATCTCTGTGGCAATTGCAGATTCCTATAATGATTCATCCGATTTCATGTGGTAATGCTTGGGCATGTAAGGTATTGCCTTTAGTTAAGGTAATTCTCAGGGCTGTGTGTCTGAGCTGCGTCAGCAAACTCAGTGCAGAGGGAATAGCTTGTAATGGGGGCGGGATGCGCTGGCCTTGCGGCTGTGTCTTCATAATGGTTTTCCCCCTTTTCTTACAGATAATAACAGACTTTGATATGACGCTGAGTAGGTTTTCCTACAAAGGAAAAAGATGTCCAACATGTCATAGTAAGTGTGGCCCTATTAACAAATTCAGAAATACAATCATTATTTTAAGATTCTTTTCTACCGATCATATTATCTATGAGATTGGGGGTTTTTTATTTTCCTTTTGGGCATTGAAAGTGAGAGGACCTGCTTTTTCTCTCCCACCCCCCCAGGCCCGAGATAGATGAGACTGGAAAAGTTCAAGGTGGTATGGCCGTAGACCAGTTTTTCTTATTATATGTTTAGGATTTATCACACCCTCCATGTTATATAAATGGCTATTTTCTGAATGGTTTAGGTTGCAAGAGGAATAAAGAAGTCTGAAATTTTTCTCTGCAAATGTGGTCTGTTCATTACTCAAGAAAAATTTAAATGAATTTTCAATTTTGGGTTAGAAACAGCATTTATTAGTTAGTAACATGTTACTAAATGTTTGTGTTATTTATATGTAAATTAGTTAAAGAATACATTATGAAATAAATACTAAGTTAAAATGTGTTGCTAAGATAAGACGCCTATTTTGTATTCTAAATGAGACAATTCAGTTTTTAAAATAATAATACTCGACTGGCCAGCGTGGCTCAGTGGTTGAGGTCAACCTATGAACCAGGAGGTCACGGTTTGATTCCTGGTCAGGGCATATGCCCAGGTTGTAAGCTTGATTTCAGTAGGGAATGTGCAGGAGACAGCCAATCAATAATTCACTCTCATTATTAATGTTTCTCTCTCTCTTTCCCTCTTCCTTCCTCTCTAAAATCTATAAAAATATATTTTTAAAAATAAATAGATAAATTAAATAAAAATACTCGCCCAGCTGGTATGGTTCAGTGTTTGAGCATCAACCTATGAACCAGGAAGTCACAGTTTGATTCCCAGTCAGGCCACATGTCCAGGTTGTGGGCTTGATCTCCAGTTGGCAGCATGCAGGAGGCAGCCAATGAATGATTTTCTCTCATCATTGATGTTTCTCTCTCTCTCTCCTGCTCCCTTTCTCTCTGAAATCCATAAAAACATTAAAAAACAAAAAAACTGTACTGTGAAGTGAAAAAGAAAGCCAAATTCAAAAGTATAGATCTGGTTTAATTGCTATATAATTGATAACGCATAGAACTTTAAGACTGAAAGGAAATATAATAAAATGTTAATTTATTTATTAAGTGGTAAAATTGTAATTTTTGTTCTCGTTACAATCTGTATTTTTCAGATTTTCACAATAATTTTTTATTAAGTTACAATTGTATTTCCCAGATTTTCGCATTATTAATATTTTATTATGAAAGAAAGAATAGCCGAAACCGGTTTGGCTCAGTGGATAGAGCGTCGGTGTGCGGACTGAAAGGTCCCAGGTTCGATTCCTGTCAAGGGCATGTACATTGGTTTGGGCACATCCCCAGTAGGGTTGTGCAGAAGGCAGCTGGTCGATGATTCTCTATCATCGATGTTTCTAGCTATCTATCCCTCTACCTTCCTCTCTGTGAAAAATCAATAGAATATTTTTTTTTTTAAAAAGAAAGAATAAAGGTGTTCTCTTTAATGGTGTTAAAGGGACCAGTCACTATACAATTCACAGTGTTAGAAGACTTTGATTTATCTAGCTCAGTGGTGTAAATAAGCAATCACGAAAGCATGGGTTTTAAAATCATTAGCTTCTCTAGCAATGCCATGTGGATAGCATTACTCCGACAGTTGTAGTGAGCGTGCTAGTTGACTTGTCATGTAAACTTACAAGAAAAGTAGTCAGTTATTCATTCATCTATGAGAGCACTTCTTTTCAGCCTCGTTTGCTTTTTCTTTAGATGTCATTGACAACTGTAAGCTGGTTTCCGATGAATGCCGGAAAAAGGTAAAAGCAACAATAACCCAGTTATGAAAGCCTTCATTACCATTTCTGCCTGAGAATTTCTTCAGGCTCATTCACACAAACGAGAATGAAGCCATACCTGGCTCTTAGTAAACACTCAACAAATGTGAGGTTTATTCTTCAGATTATAGCACTCAGCTTATTTTAAAGAAAAATTTACCAGGAACATTTTAATAACAACAAAACTTACCCGAAAAAAAACTTTTAAATGGTTACCCAAATATCCTGGTATCTTTACATTAACTGGAAAGTTAAACAAAACTACTTCGGTTTTAATGTAGGTTTTGCTCCTTTAAATTGATCAGGAAATTGCCTCAGTTCTCTGCTTTTTTGAGTAGGTGTGTGCCTACATCTCTTTTTAACAAAATAAGATTCCAAAGATGATTCAAATGTAATACTTTCATATGAGAATGAAAGTGTTTTTGTGGTGATAGTTTAATTATTAGTTGGTTTCATTGAATTGCTGAACTGAAAATATTTTTAAGAAAGAAAGAAAGAAAGAAAGAAAGAAAGAAAGAAAGAAAGAAAGAAAGAAAGAAAGAAAGAAAGAAAGAAAGAAAGAAAGAAAATCGGCCTTTCGCAGGTCTGTTCAGTTACATGTAAACCAAAACCAACAAAGGTCTTTTCAGCTGCTATATGTAATAGGTACCCATGCTCCAGTCTTTACCATTTAAAGCAGTTCGTGGAAAACACTTGTCTATGTCATTTTGCTTCCTATAAAATTAATCATTTAACAGCTCTGCAGCCTTCCTGATTTAAGTATTTGTTTCTTTCTAGTTACTGGAACTAAAGGAAAAATTTTATGCTATTGAAACTGACCCTCTTCTTACGGTAGAAGAGAAGTTCCCTTATATGGTAGAATGGTAAGTGCGTATTCCCAATGGGAGGCTTCAAATGTAATAACATGACCTACAGTTACAACTACTGGTGTTTCTCCCCTCCCCCCCCCCCAACATGTGCACATAGATTAATACGTTATCCAATGAGTTAGAGTAAGAGATTAAAGGTAACAAAACCAACCAATTCTCTAATCACTCTCATAGTCTAGAATCAGTTTTGTTCGGCTTTGTTTGCTTTTGAAGATGAAGATCAGTAGGAATGGATTTAAAATTCTGCACCTTAGCCTGAAACTCAAAACAAGAATTTGTTTTCTCTGAAGTCTGTGGGCGAGATGTGGCTCAGTGTGTCAGGAAAACGACTTAGGATTTAGGTGGACTCTGTGCTGAGCTGGAGCCAGTGGGGGGCAGTGCTGAGAACCAACTGGCCTCTGCTGCTGGTCGCATTCATGGAAACGCCCTTTGCTCTGAGCAGGGCACGCTGCCAGCACGGTGCTGCCTTCTGGGAAGACACCGGAGAAATGCTGACACTCAGAGGGTCACTAAGATACGCCCAGACACTGGAGGAGCCACTCCATTTGAGGAACATCTCAAAGAATGGAATATTGAGTGGTTTCAGAATCTTAGGAGCCCAGAAATGGTGTTGTTTATATCCATTATCCCATCACCTAACCGCGGGCCTTGCACACTTAATCAGTGTATATGGTAGGAAGTGTTGGAAAGGGGTTCGACTCACTCAACATGCGGAACTGGAACCAGACGTGGAAGGCCTAGACCATGGATTTCAGCACGATGACAGGACGGTCTAGGAATTACTAGTAGAATGTTCTAGCAATGGTATAGCTTCCTGGGAGAATGAGCTCACCGGCAGGATGGGAGGCACCTGCCATCCCAGAGAGTGGTTTCACTGAAGACTGATTGATATAGGGGGGATTTGTGGGTGTCAGGTGGAGAGGGTCTAAAGGCCGGCTATACTCAGATAGTGTGATTACAGGTGCTTTTATGTGATTGCAAAGCACCTATATGTGGATAAAACTTCCCAGAGCAAGGATCTTCTCTTTGGCTCACTAGGCAGTATCTTCAGTGCTTAGGCATTCCATGAAAATTCAGACTCCAGACCAATGAAAAATGGCTTTGCTCCAATTCTTCTGGAATCGAAGAAATTATTATGCTTCCTAAGGTTGGAGCTCTTTTTTAAAAAATATATATTTTATTGATTTTTTTTTTTTTACAGAGAGGGATAGAGAGTTAGAAACATCGATGAGAGAGAAACATTGATCAGCTGACTCTTGCACACCCCCTACTGGGGATGTGCCCCCAACCAAGGTACATGCCCTTGACCAGAATCGAACCCGGGACCTTTCAGTCCACAGGTGACGCTCTATCCACTGAGCCAAACCGGTTTTGGCAAGGTTGGAGCTCTTATCCATAGATCGAGGAAAGGTTTATACCTAGAATCCTTTCACTGTCTTGTTAACACACTTAAAGTAAGCCAGCGTTTGGGGAGAACTGGGAAATGCAGTGAGAACATGTGTATCATTTTTGAGACATGCGAGGTATACGTTCATTAAGATCTGAAATTTAAATCCAAAATAGCATGAATGAAATACTGCATGTTCACATGCCGAAGAATGCTCTGTCACAAAGAATAGTATTAATTCTCTTTCATTGATTTTCTTTTTTCTTTGGGCATAAACTCCAGGTACACCAAGTCACATCGCCTGCTTGTTGAACAGGGTATACCAAGAGCTAAACTTAAAGAAATTGTGGCAGAATCGGACGTCATGCTCAAGTAAGTTTCTTGGTGGTTAATTGTCTACAGTTCTGATCTGTTACATGCCATATTCAAAGTGTGTATTTTTTATTAAAATAATCTAGAATAATATCCCATATAAAAACATATCCAGAACATGCCGCCTATCACATACAAAAAGTGTCGCGATAAGGAGTTGAGAATGACATGTCAGGTCATGGTGCAGGGAATGAAAGCCTGTGAGCTTGAAGCACTAATTTACATTTTCTTTCTCCAAATTTAAAATCTCAAGACTTTCAAAGTTAGGAAAACAAGACCATTTTGAAGTTGTTGCTTTTTTTTAAGCAAAAATACTTTTCAAAGATATGAAATATAAAAAAGAATGTTTACATGGTCATATTGAAAAGTGTTTCGCTAAGTACCATTTTTATGATGTACCCTCTTTTAAAATTGACATAAGTCTACTTTCTGAATTCTCCAAGTCTCTTGAAAACAATCTCTAAGAAAGGTGCATAAGTTTTAGCAAATAATACAAATATTTCTAATAGGTGAATTATTGGATATTAACATGTTAAAGCTTATTTTCAGTTGTTTACTGCCTCTTAAATTCTTCAGCTCACTAGGCAAATATGATGCTTTTTCTTTTTCCTTTTCCTTTTTTAAAATTTTTTTTAATGATGCTACATTAAAGGTGATTTATTTCTGAAGAAAGCATTCAATTGTCAGAGTGTGAGGACTGCTAGTATTTTATTCCTTTGCTGGGCAGCTTATCTTAGAGCCAGGAGTGTGGAAAGGGAAGAGGAGATTTTAAGATGAAAACATTACCTGTAGCTGCCACAGCTGAGGCAGGAGAGAGGCCAGGGGTACAGGGAATCCGGCCCGGGCCCTGCCACTCCGAGTTCCCAGCAGAGAGCAGGAGATGAGCAGAATGACAGCAGCAGGTCTTGCAGCCTCAGCCCAAATGGGGCTTTCAAGCTAAGCTTTCATGATGTGCTGTCCACTAGTATCAATTCCCAGCTGTAGGCTTCTCCATAGCCGGTGCGAGTCTAACATCATCTCATTTTTACTTTGAGAATTTACCAGAAGGCGGGTTAAAAGTTAACTGTTGTCTGGAAAACCTGTGCTGGTCTCAGACGTCAGGAACAGTCCCCCTTGGCTTTGTTTTGACGTGAGAACTCAATGCATCATAGAAACACGTGGCTTTTTAAACATCTTGGTGAAAAAGAGCTATGCCTTCGCTCCTAACGGTCATATTATACCTTGCCTTGCAGGGAAGGCTATGAGAATTTCTTCGATAAGCTCCAACAACACAGCATCCCCGTGTTCATCTTCTCGGCCGGCATTGGAGACGTCCTGGAGGAGGTGATCCGTCAGGCTGGGGTTTACTATTCCAACGTCACAGTGGTGTCCAACTTCATGGATTTTGATGACAATGTAAGAATATCAGGTCATTCATTCCCTGTGATTACTTTGAAAATGTGAAAATATTCTAATCATGTAGAAGCATTTGTTATTTATTATTTCATGTGTGCTCATTAAATTAGGCCAAGTTCATAGGCCCAGGACGGGCCTCATCATCTCTCGCAGTGTTGTATCCATACCCATGTTTCAAACATAATAATTCTGCTTAAACTTTTGTTTCCTGAGCTGTAGACTAACCTTACATTACATTAGATATGTTACTAATTTTTAAAATATATATTTTTTTTATTCATTTCTTTACAGAGAGGAAGGGAGAGGGATAGAGAGTTAGAAACACTGATGAAAGAGAAACATCAATCAGCTTCCTCCTGCACACTCCCTACTGGGGATGTAACTGCAATCAAGGTATATGCCCTTGACCAGAATCGAACCTGGGACCCTTCAGTCTGCAGGCTGACGCTCTATCCACTGAGCCAAACTGGTTAGGGCAGTGGTCCGCAAACTACAGCTCACACGCAGCTCTTTGGCCCCTTGAGTGTGGCTCTTCCACAAAATACCACCGCCCAGGCAAGTCTATTTTGAAGAAGTGGCATTAGAAGTAGTTTAAGTTTAAAAAATGTGGCTCTCAAAAGAAATTTCAGCGGAAACCAGTTTGGCTCAGTGGATACAGCGTCAGCCTAAGAACTGAAAGGTCCCAGGTTCAATTCCGGTCAAGGGCATGTACCTTGATTGTGGGTACATCCCCAGTAGGGGGTGTGCAAGAGGCAGCTAATCGATGATTCATCTCATCGATGTTTCTAACTCTATCCCTCTCTCTTCTGCTCTGTGAAAAATCAATAAAAATATATATTTTTTTAAAATTTTCAATCGTTGTACTGTTGATATTTGGTTCTGTTGACTGAGTTTGCCGACCACTGGGTTAAGGCAATTTTACTAATTTTAATTCAACAACTCTAAAGAATTAACATTCATGGATGGGAAAAAAGAAGTGGCTTAAAACTAATGTAACTGGAACTAGTTCTTCTAGTCAAGACAATACAACATACATAAAATGGCACCCTTTGGTTAGGAACCAAATGAAAAGTAAAAATTAAGCTTTCAACTCACGTTTAACATTTAAAGCATCTTGAGAGAGTCACTTCTCAGAGTCCTTCTTACCTATCTAAATGTGGAACTACGACAAGTAAAATTTGTAAAGCCTGTTATTTCAAAGGATTTATGCCTTTTGAACAGGGAGTGCTCAAAGGATTTAAAGGAGATCTGATTCATGTATTTAACAAACACGATGGTGCCTTGAAGAACACAGAGTATTTCAGTCAACTGAAAGACAACAGCAACATCATTCTGCTGGGGGACTCCCAAGGAGACTTAAGAATGGCAGATGGCGTAGCTAATGTGGAATACATTCTGAAAATTGGATATCTAAACGATAAGGTAAGTATATAAATCTAATTTCCTTTTAAGAAAACACTAGGGTTGTTGGGGCCAGTTTGGCTCAGTGGATGGTGCATTGGCCTGCGGACTGAAAGGTCCCAGGTTCAATTCCGGTCAAGGGCATGTGCCTTGGTTGCGGGCACATCCCCAGTGGAGGGTGTGCAAGAGGCAGCTGATCGATGATTCTCTCTCATCGATGTTTCTAACTCTCTATCCCTCTATTTTCCTCTCTGTAAAAAAAAAATCAATAAAGTATATTTAAAAAAGAAAACACTAGGGTTGTCCTGGCTAGTGTAGCTCAGCTGGTTGGGTGTCATCCCTTGCACTGGAAGGCTTCTGGTTCGATTCCCAGTCAAGGGCACATGCCCAGATTGTGGACTCAGTCCCCAATAGGGAGAGTGCAGGAGGCAGCTGACCAATGTTTTGGTCTCACATCCATGTTTCTCGCTCCCTCCCTCTCTAAATATAAATCAATAAAAATGTTTTAAGAAGGGTCGAAACCAGTTTGGCTCAGTGGTAGAGCGTCGGTCTGCGGACTGAAAGGACCCGGGATTGATTCCAGCCAAGGGCATGTACATTGGTTGCGGGCACATCCCCGGTAGGGGGTGTGCAAGAGACAGCTGGTCGATGTTTCTCTCTCATTGACGTTTCTAGCTCTCTGTCTCTCTCCCTTCCTATCTGTAAAATATCAATAAAATATATATATTTTTTAAATGTTTTAAGAAGGAAAAACTAGGGTGAAACTTGGTAGGTAATTGCTCTCCCAGGTTCCTGAGAAAGCCATTCTTTTGGAGCCGACTGGGTTGCCCTTTACCCCTTTTCTTTGGTGCTGAGCAAAGGAGTTGGTGCCCACTGTAGTGTTGGGAAGGAAGGGTGTACATTATAAAAGACCTCTCTGGCCTCTCTTCCTTTGATGCCAATAGCACTCCCCATCCAGGAGAATCAAAACTTTAGCCATGGCCAAATGTTCCTTGGGCAACTTATCCCCATTTGAGAACCACTGGAATAGAGAGAGAGGATTCATTGGGGAGAAAAGCCCCTAAGTGGAAAAAGTTCTGTCAATGAGCCTTAAGAATTGTTTTTAATTGATTCTAAAGAGAGAGGAAGGGAGAGAGAGAAACATCGATGAGAGAGAAACATCTACAGCATCCTGCTGCCTCCTGCACACGCGCCCCCTCCTCCCCCCCGCCCTGAATTGAACCTGTGACCTCTTGGTGCATGGACTGACACTCAACCACTGAGCTACATCAACCAGGCAAACCTTAAGAAATTGAATATTTCCTAAAAATAAATAAATAAAATGAAAAATTAAGAAGTTAAGTAAAGAAACCATTTTAAAAAGAACTTGAATATTTGAAAAGTACTGCTTCATTTCAAATGTTTTATGAAAGTTAATTTAGTTTTTTATTAAATTCACTTTCATGAAACATTTTTTTTTTCTTCTTAACAGATTTAACATAACAATGTGGTTCATACTGAAATTCTTGGCTTTTTCCCTGAACATTAATCTTTATGGTTTTCTTGTTGTTGTTGATCAGGTGGATGAGCTTTTAGACAAGTACATGGACTCTTATGATATTGTTCTAGTCAAAGAGGAATCCTTGGAGGTAGCCAACTCGATCTTACAGAAGATCCTGTATAAATGAGCCTTCTTCAAGGAGACGCCTGTCCTGTGGTGCAGCGGATGCAAGAACCGCTCATGTGTTCGGTGTGCGAAAGACTTTTATTTATAACATATCCTTGCTCAGACATGCTGAATCCAAAGGCTAGAAGCTCCTTGTTTTCTGCCTCTCTCAACACACTCCTCACCGTATTTTTTTTTAATTAAAAAAGAAATCTTAAAGTCAAAATTTGAAAACACTGCCTACATTTCCAGAGTGAATTTTGTAGTTTACTGTTAAGATGTTTTTGAGGAGTCTTTTTACATGTGTGTGATTTTAAGTATTGACATTTTTGTAATTTGAATGAATTATGCTGATGGTATCACCATCTCCTAAAATTGTGTTTCTTGTTTTTTGGGGGAAATTGAAACTTCCAAGAACATATCAGCACATGGTGGTGGAAAAACTTGGTATCCACATGTCACTAATCATTATAAAATGTTCTATATTGATGCACTGATAATAAACATGAAATGAAAAGTCTTTTTAATTCTGTTGGCAAGACTATCATTCATTCATTCAACAAGTACTTATTAAGCACCTGCCAGGTTTATCTTGTATGTGTTTGATAACCTTGCAGTCAGGCCAACTTCCCTGCCAAAATGAATTTTTTTTCTTTCTTCTGTCTTAAGTGATAATTTTGAAAAGCTGTATAGCGCTGGCCAGTGTGGTACAGCTGGTTGCCACACTCAGGTCGCTGGTTCAATTCCTGGGCAGGGCACATGTCCCAATGACGGGCTCGATCCCCAGTCAGGGGTGTGCAGGAGACAGCCGATGGATGGTTCTCTCTCATCAATGTTTCTCTCCCTTCCCCTTTCGCTCTCTCTAAAATCAATAAAAACACATTTTTTTAAAAAAAGAGAAAAGAAAAGCTATATAAATTCCTATAAGTAATCAGAGATCAAATGCCCTAAATTTTAACAAAATAGTGCAGACTGCTTATGCTTGCAAAGTAGCCTCATGGTTGGTTGGTTGGTTGGTTTGGAGAAAAGGGGGAGAGAGAAAAACATCAATTTGTTGTTCCACTTCTTGATGCATTCACTGGTTGATTCTTGTGCCCTGGCCAGGGATGGAACCTTGGTGCATTGGGACAGCACCAACCAGCGGGGCTACCCACCCACCCAGCACCAACCAGCGGGGCTACACACCCAGGGTGCCTCGTGACGTTTCGAGCACACAGGTCACGTGCATGCTTAGACGTCAGATTCTCTGAGGCACTCTCACCCCCTCTAGCACCAGTGACCTAGCTCATCTTTCGGGCCCAAAGTTCAAAGCCTGTGTCACAAGCCAGGTGGTCCGAAGGCGGAGACTGGCCATCTGTCCTCTCAGGAGGAGTTCCAGGCTGCCTCAAGAGGCAGCACAGAAGCCGAGTGTAAAATGTGATGAAGGAAAATGCTGCGTGTGGCGCCTCCACCCTCTGTTTGGGCCTTACTTAGTACTCACGGCCTCGGCGGGCAGAGCCGTCCCCCACAATCTAACGTGAGCAAGTGTTGCCGCAGCTTCACAGAGTGAGGCCAGCCAGGCACACGGAGCCCCTGAGGTTGCTTCTGCAAAAAGGAAGCCACATTTGATTTTTAAAAACATGCATGTATTTCCCCCTATACATGTGCCCATTATTCTCCATTTGCTCCTTTCTCTGCATCCAGAGGCTGATTGCTAAGACCCCTACCCCACCCCCACCCTCAGATCCCTTTCCTCTGTTTCGGACTGGGTTCAGCGACAGAGCCAGCGGCAGGGTAGACACGCCCTCTCGTCTGCCGCAGCTCCAGCCACAGCTCCGGGCGTGGCTCAGGCCCAGGGAGGAGCAGCCGCCTGCTGTTGCTGGCCACCAGCCGGCCTGGGTACCTGACATTCTTGGTGGGTCCCAGAGTCCTGTACACACCTCTACAAACAGCCCTGTCATTATCCTCCCTGCACGAATCCCTAGGAGGGCGCTTCCCGGCAGGACCCTGAGCCCACACCCTCTAAACTCTCCCAAGTCACACAGCGCGGCCCTGTGAGTTCTTATCCAGAGGGTTCTGACTACCTGGTGTATTCCCATGGGATCCTCTCTGCCGTTCAAGAAAATACCACAAAGCCTGGTGAGAATTCAACGTTTTATATACGAAAAGATGGGTTTTCCAACATTCAATTGGATGAGTGCATGGCGTTCTCATGGCCTGCCTCAGAGCTACGTCAGTACAAAACAGTTTAAATTAGTAACAGCCGTTTCAGAAGGAAAAGCATACGTGGGTCACGGGGCGGGGGGTGCCATCACCGGTGGGGAACAGGAGATAAGGCAGCAAGGTGTTCACTGGGCCGCCAGGGGCAGCGGCCTGGTTACGCAGAGTAAGGCCCCGGGAGGCCGAGGAGCAGCCTGTCCCCTGTTTGTGCTCATTGGCTGGGAAGACACGGCCACCTGGGCCCCAGGGAGACGCTCTGCAGCTCGGCCTGGCCGCGGGCCCCGCACGCATCTCTGATCAAAGGACTTGAGGCCACGGGGCAGAGTGACGGGCTGACAGGGAAGCAGGTGGCCTCGAGTGGCAGACGGTCAGGTTCTCTCCCCATGGGCCTCCGTGCCTTTTGTTTGGTCCCAGTTTACCACCTCCAAGCTACCCAGCCGATCAGAGGACCAAAGTGTGTGTGTGTGTGTGTGTGTGTGTGTGTGTGTGTGTGTGTGTGTGTGGAGGAGGAGGTGGAAGCTGGATGTGGGTGTGTGCAGGAGGAGGTGGAACTGGAGGTGTGTGTGTGTGTGTGAGTGTGTAGGAGGAGGTGGAAGCTGGATGTGGGTGTGGGTGTGTGTGTGTGCAGGAGGAGGTGGAACTGGAGGTGTGTATGTGTGTGTGTGTGTGTGTGTGTGTGTGTGTGTGAAGGAAGAGGTGGAGGAGGAGGCTGGGCCAACCAGAAGGTGCTGTACAGGCTGCTGAGAAGTTTCTGACATGCCCTTTGTTTTTCCTGCCTGTCTGGACAACAGTTAAAAAAACACCAGCAAGTTAAAAAAAAATTGTCTTAATCCTCCTTACCAGATATCCTGGGTTTTCTCCCGTTCCCTGCAGGATGGTCACAGCTTCTCTACACTATTTCCCTCGATAACACACCGCCCGGAAGGCCCAGAACAATGGCTGGCAGCCTCCCACCAGCCGATCTAGACTAATCCCCGGCGTTGGGCCCAGGGCCTGTCTTTACCCACCCAGCCTGTGTGGCCGCCGCCCTTGCTGACAGTTCACCTTCCGCTGGGCGCTCGGCCGCCACAGCACACCCGGGGCGGGTCAGGCTCACAGCTCGTCGTGCTTGGCCTCCTGGTCTTTGAGCTTGAACTCCTCGGCCGTGACCTTGCCATCCGCGTTGCGGTCCTGGTTGGTGAACATGTTCTTCACAATCATCTCGGCATCGAAGCCGGGGGCGAGCTTCCCTCTGCCGGACGCCACCTGGGCGTGGATGTACTCTGAGAACTGGATAGGAAGAGAGGGGCAGGTCAGACACACGCCCAGGCCCACACGGATGGGCCCTGCATCTGAGCTCGCACACGGGAAATCCTCTGAGCCACTCAATCTGGTTTCCCCTCCGGATGCAGGTGAGAAACTGCCCACGAAGTGATCCCAGCAGCCCCTTGGTTCCAGGCGGCCAACCCCAGTGGCTGCTGGAGCTCCCCGTCCCCCCAACCAGCCCTTCTTTCTGCACAAAGACGGGCCCCGGACCACCCAGCCCCTGAGTGGTCCTCATTCATTCACACAAGAACAATGTCCCGTCCGCTGCGTCCTAGAGCCGTATCAATGCCCAAACTAGGCTTCCTGCACCTGTAACGAGCATATCCTGGTAGGAAAGACGCACAATTAAACATGAACATACAAAAGAAGCTCCATAGTAAGGAAGACGGGAATGCTCTAGAGCAGTGTTTCCCAAACTTTTGACATATGTGTACCCCTTCTATAATTTTCGTAACGCTGATTACCCCTCGTACTCATGAGAAGGTAGAATTAGGTGCAGCTAAGCACGGTGCAGTGCATATCTCCACCAAACACCGGTGCAACGCGTACCCCCACAAACTCTTCCCGTGCCCCTGGGGGTACGCGTACCGCACTTTGGGAAATACTGCTCTAGAAAAACAAAAAGTAGAGCCAAGTAAGGAAGATGCAAAGGGGGTGAAGTATGGATTCGGGATCAGGGTCTGACCAGGGGACAAAGGGAGGCTTGAGCGGAGGCTGGAAGGGCGCAAGGGAAGGTGCCCGCTGTCCGGGGCAAGAGCCTTCTGGGGCAGAGGGGAGAGCGGGTGTGCAGGCGGGTGGGTGCCTGCCCTGTGTACACAGACCCTCCAGGGAGAGGAGGAGAGACTCCCGAGGAGCCACCGGGGAGGGGTTCTGGAGGCCGGGGAGAGCAGGTGGCGTGAGAAGGAGCCAGCTGTGTCGTGGTAAGAGAGTGAAGACCAAAAGGCACCGGTCCCCTGACAAGACCAGGGTCAGGGCTGCTGTGAGCAGGCCAGCAGCCGGGGAGATGCTGATGGCGTGAGAGAAAGGGGAGAAGGCGGGGAGGGCAGGCGTGGAGCTGTGGGGAGCGGACTTCAGCAGGGTTGTGACAAAGGACTCTACGGCCCAGCTCCACCAGGGTGTCTGGTTCCGGAGGCACAACAAGGGTGTGGACCCCGGCTCCACCGCTGGGGAGCTGGGTGACCTTGGGCAGGTCAGCGACCTTCTTGGTGCACAGCTACTCCCTCTGAAAGCCAGGGACGATTGCATGGCTGTCGGGAGGACCAAGCAACGTGACAGATGGGCAAACAGCACGCCGGGCACGCAGGGAGCGCCCAGGAACTGGACCCGCCCCAGAGCCGAGACCCTGCCATCCGTCCCTGCAGCTCTCCGTCCCTGCAGAGCTTGGATGAGAGAGTGCGTGGGGAAGCGCGTGGTGCCCGAGTGTGCAGGTGCTCCCAGCACAGGATGTGAGCGCAGGTGTCCTCCCCGCGCCGGAAGGCCCCGGGCCCAGGACGGCTCCCTGAGCTCCCCGGTCCCGCC